GGATTTATTAATTAACTACAATAACATGGTTAAGGATGCGAGAACACACTATTTTTCTGAACTCATTAGTACACATAAACACAATCCCATGTTTCTGGGACTGTGGATCAGCTGCTAAACCCAATCCCTCCTTGTGCCTCAGCTGGAAGTAATGATGACTGAATTGTTTTTATCTTATTTTACCAATAAGGTGGTGTCAATCAGAGCCTCTATTACCCCCGTGGCCTCTTAATCAGAGGTTCCTCACCAGCAACAAGAGAGTTTTAACCAGTTTTATCCCATCGACTTGTCTGAGCTTTTAAAAACAGTATCACAAATGAGAGTGTCCTCCGGCCCACTTGATGTAATACCTACAAAGTTTTTACTGAAAGTAATGGATTCTGTTGGGCTCCATTTGATCTCTGTTTTTAACAGCTCCCTATCTACTGGTTGTGTCCCTGATTATTTTAAAACGGCTTGCGTGAACCCACTTTTAAAGAAACCTGGTTTAGATCCCTCCCTCCCACATAATTTTAGACCAATTTCAAAACTGCCTTTTATTGCAAAGATTCTAGAAAGAATTGTGTCCAAACAGATTCTCACTGTACTGGAAAATAACAAAATATTTGAAAAGTTTCAATCTGGTTTCAGGAAGTACCACAGCACTGAGACTGCCCTGCTTAAAGTCACCAATGACCTTTTAATGTCTGCTGATGAAGGCATGTGCTCAGTCCTGGTACTCCTGGACCTTAGCGCTGCTTTTGACACCATTGATCACAACATCATGTTAGACAGACTGAGGCACTGGGTGGGGATCTCTGGTACTGCCCTAGAATGGTTTTCATCCTACCTGACAAATAGAAAGTTTTGCGTGTCTGTGAACAACTATGAACAAAGAAATATGACCACATTACTCCTATTTTAGCTTCACTACACTGGCTCCCAGTATGTTTTAGAATTGACTTTAAAATTCTATTGATCACTTTTAAAGGTCTTCATGGCCTATCGCCTTGTTATATTTCTGACCTTTTAGTCCCATACACACCAGCACGTACCTTGAGATCCTCGGGCAGAGGTCTGTTGTCTGTCTTTATTTTATCCCTTTTATTTTATTGTATTTTACTAATTTTATTATATTGTTTTTGTATTATTGTCTCTTGGGTATTATTGTCTTTACACTTATACCCTTTGTAACTTGTTTTTGAAAAGTTCTCTACAAATAAAGATTATCATTATTATTATTATTATTCCTGCAACAGAAAATAACATTACACTTCCTCATGAATTTGTATTTCTGCTGCCGAAATGTTTCTTGGTGTTGGTGTATTATAAAAAAAAAAAAACACCACCTAATTTCGTGTTAAAATGCATTGTAATAAGTGTTACTGAGATTGTAACGGGTATATTACTGATTTTTTTAGTAATGCGTTATATTACTGCGTTACAGCAAAAAGCAAAACCTTACTGTAATTGCATTACTTTTGTAATGCATTACTCCCAGCACTGTTTCATACAAACACAAAAATCTAAAATGTGGGAATGGCAGATGTTAATTATTGTTGCGTTTTTTCAGATTTTGAGAAAGGAGAGGCTCAGTCCAATGAAAATTAACAAAAAGATTTAATTACAAAAATTAGTGAATAAAGAGATGGCATTACAGAACAAACAAATAACACTGCAGTGGACTGAAAAGTTGGTCCTCCGTTCAGATTTACAGCTTTCAGTCAAGTCCTAACAGACTGAGCTAAAGCCGCCTCCAGCAGTGGACTGAAAAGCTGCTTCTCCTCCCAGATCCACAGCTTACAGTCCTGTTTCTCACAAAATAAATTGTTAATATCCTCCAGGTATGTGGGTGGGTCCATTTTCCTCCAAATGGCTTAGGTCCATAGCCATTGGTCGTTTGGTTGACTTCTTCGTCACCCAATTGGGAAGGGTGTACCTTACTGTTCTACCTTTTGGTCGAACAAAAGAGCACCGATCTCAGACGTGAAACCCCCCTTCAATCTACAGGAATAAACAGTCTTTTGCTCTAAACTAATCATAGAGAACAACAGGGCTTGTCTCCAAAATGGTTGACACCCTATCTTAAGTGTCAATGAAACAGTCAAAACAAAACAATCCTTCTGGCACTAAACAAAGAGGTGTCAGTTTTCTTCACATTACAAAGAGGACAAACAATGGTTTAATCAACATTCTAATGCAATTGCCTGGCCTAAAATCTTGCAGTTTTACATTTGAAGAAAAACACTGAAACACTGGAATACATTAAGTTTGTTGTAACTTTTTAAAACTCAACATTATCCTGATCATCGTTTTGCCACTTCTACTTTTCCTCATTCTGCAATTTTTTGTAAAACGTGTGGTGCAATTTCAAATGTGAAAACACTGAAATGATCAAATACAATTCAAAGCAGTATTATGTAAGATTTGACATTTTTTGCAACTTGGAGTGCAATTTACTTATAAACAGTTTTGGTAAATATGGACTGTTGTACACATGTACTTTTGTTATGATTACATTAGTTATAATCAAAAAGTAGCTAGTGGACAACTTTGCCAACAGCCAAACATCAAGCAAGTGCAGCAACACAAGACGTAGCAAACCAGCTAATATTACTCACTAGTCCAAGCCCAACCTTGTATTTCACGAAGCTCTCACCAACAAGTAAAAGCCAGTCCAATATTTACTCTTTTGGGTCTCTTGCTCCGGTCACGCTCTCTTTTTCTCTTCCTCCTACAACGTCTTCTTCAGTCTCTCCTAAAGTATTCCTACTCAGAATATCGAGCTAGCTACTTCTAGCTTGCTGAAGAGTCTTGTTAGTGTGTGTGGGCCCAGAGTGGCAATGACAGAGACGCTAATCTCCCTATTACAAGTCAGAGTACCATCGAAAAGATTTTGAAGCTGTTATTTTAAGATAAAATGACAAGATAATGTGGCTTTAAATGTTTCTAACATCAAGAAATTTATTTTTAAATCATTGCCTATGTTGTAGCGAACAGCAGGAACATATCCTGCTCACTGACTCATTTGTGTTACACATATTTGTAATGATGAGCTGTCTCACACTTTCAGCCTGATAATGACCTAGTTATCTCGGCCTCACCCACAGTAAAACCAGGGAAGGAGCTGTGAGGGTGGCTTGGAGACAGACGGGGGTTGTTGGAAGTCACCATGGCGGAGAGCAATCATCCATGCATTCCCAAGGGTTGGGCTGTCCTGCTGCCTGCTCTCATCTCTATATTTAACGGGTTAGTTTCAACGCTTATTTACCCCAATACATTTATATCGGCACTAAAACAGATTTTAATGATTTCTGTCATTTGTAGTTGTAATCTTGTGCTGATGTCATCTTCCTTTTATGTATGAAAAGCTCTTGTATTTGTCATCACACAACTGAGTGTCATTCAGTAACAAGCTCAGGGGCTGTTGGTTGGTGGCGGCACCATTATGTACCACTTACCTGCAGAAGGACGTACTGATTTCTAATAGACAGGTCAGTGTGCTCTCCTGTTTCCTGGGGTGTGTATGTGAGTCTGTGTTTATATATTGTTCTATATCTGAAATCTAAAATACTTGCATTGGACAATGATTTAGTGCATACAGTATACAACTGTATATACAGCGGTATGATTATGTTATAGTATTGAATCAAAGTAGATTTAACGTGGTTTTTCTGACACAGAAAACTATAAATACTTGTTTGCATAAGCACTCACCCTCTCCAAGTCGGTATTTAGAGGATGCACTTTTGGGAGCAGTTACATCCTTGTGTCTGCGTGGATAGGTCTCAGTCAGGTTTGTACAAAAGGACACTGCAATTTTCCCCCATTCTTCCACAAAAAAGCTTTTTCAGGTTGCATGGACATAGTGAGTGAAAAGCATTTTCAGTCATGTCAAAAATTCTCAGTTAGCTTGAGATCTGAACTCTGTAACATTAACATGTTTTTAAGCCATTCGTGTGTTGCTTTGACTTTATGCTTGGGCTCATTGTCGTGCTGGAAAACATATTGCAGGATTCTAATTTAGTTTCCTTGATTTAGAAGAAGACATACTTTATTAATCCCATAAAGGAAAATTCAATGTTTTTTCACTCTGTTGTTAATGTTAGTATTATATGTACACATGCTTAAACACATGGAGAGATGTCAGTAAGGAGGCTGCCACTTAGAGCGGTGCCCTGAGCAGTTGGGGGTTCAGCAGCACCCAAGAGGTGAACTGACAGCTCTCCAGCTACCAGTCAACACTCCGTATCTCTGGTCCAAGCTGGACTCAAATAGGCGACCCTCCGGTTTACAGCAAAGTTCTTATGGACTGAAATACTAATAATTTGGAATAAAAATTGTAGGCTACTGGTTGAAAAAATGCAGTTGGTGCAAATTATTCTGTTCCAGAAAAAACATTTGAGACACAAGCTTTTCACTAATAGCAGTGAAATGCAATTCACAATTCCTTATCCTACAGATAACCACAAAAGGAGCTACAGTGAATGTTTTGAGAATGAAAAAAAACCTCAAGTGTTTGTCAGACAAGTCATTTATAGTAGGGGTGCCATGAATGTGAAGTTAAAGTTTAAAGATTTTGAAGTTCTATTGTGTGTTGTGATTTTACATGCACTGAAAACTGTATACAACCTCAGTGCAATGGCACTGCCTACTGGTGAAAATGGCTCATCAGGTCTAGGCATCACTTAACCAAATAGGAATTTTACAACGCCAGCATTGACTTTCCCCACAACCATGTTTCCTATAGGTTTGTCAAATATTGTGGAGAAAGTATATCATGAAAGACATTAATTGCCAACCACAAGGCTAAACCAAGATTTTCAACCAGCTCATTTGGTTTTGTTCTTAATTAACACCCTTTCAAAGATGCTTGTAAAGTGGTTGCATTTTAATCAACTACAAATTGTCATAGTGTAGCAGTCTTGTTCCATTTAGCAATGCAGCACAAGTGATACAATGTTCGGCACTAAGTGAGGTGCACAACTCACAAAACTAGAAAGAAAAAACCGGAGACAATCTTCATGTACACTAGTAATTTATTTTATATAAATACATAAAAAGACAAACATTTCATGTCACATAACTTAGGGTATTAACTATTGGTATAAAGGGATTTGACAATGAACTGAAAAATAATGTTCATCCCATTTGTTTTTACTGCCTCTGTACATTTTGTTAACATGGGATTGCACCTGAATAAAAATGGTGGAACTCTTCAACCCCCATGTCAAGCGTGATCCTGTGTCCTAGTCACCAGAGGAGCAGAGTTACATTCACTTTTCAGTTTAAGATCATCGTAACCAGATATAAATCTACTCCAGACCTCGGTCCAAAGGCACTGCCTGACTCCGGTCATCGGAAGACCCTGTTAGCCACAGAGTTTCAACACATGACGCAAAATACTTTAAAAAAAAACAAAAAAAAAAAAACAAAACACAGCACAGGCAAACTTGTGGTCTGGCTGAATAGCGAAATCCATGCGATTGTGCATATTGCATCCTGTAAGTGTTACTTGCAATATGCCTCAGTAAGACGCCAGCTCTGCACTGAATCCTGCAAGAACTAGTGGTTCATCTGCTTCCCTCTCTGGCATCTCAGTCACACCATCACTTCATAGGAGATTTAAGTAGAGAGAATACATTGACTCCACAGTATAAAACATAATGCTTTTCACTGGATGTCTACCATCAGCAGTGTTGTGACTCAAGCCATTGAGAATTGGGTATGCCTGTGTGATCCAAAAAAAAAAAAAAAAAAAAAAAAAAAAAAAAGGACACCCTGTTCTGCATTCATGTAACCATTTAAAGACCTTAACAGGATATGTGTAGCCTAAACACCATAATCAACTCAGAACAGTCAACGTCATTTTAGGGCAAGTGAAATAAACAACCTTTCAGTGTATAAATTAAACTGGATTTCCTAAAAAGTCTGCGAAGTAAGATCAACTCACAAGAGTAAAAAACACAAACACACGATCTCACCATTAGAAGCTTTGGGGAGGCCCAGTAGGACTGTATTGTACAGTTTAGGGTCCTACAGTCTCACCATAGGCAAATCTCAACATTCAGTGTGAATAATGGACTCAATTTCTGACACGTACAATTTTTTCCAAACCATAATGTAGCGGATAAAGGAGGGACACTTGTATAGCATAACTTGGGGCTTTACCTTGAGTGTAAACAAAAAGAATTAAAAAAACACAATGCCATCAGCTTGAGTCAATAAACCTCTTAAATAGAGCTTTGGTCATAATTTAAAGATTGTCTTCTGCAGTGTAAAGTAGAAAAAGCAATCAAAATACAGTCCAAACAAATTGGGGTTGTATCTCGGAATGCAGTGGTTTGCTTACGTAAATGAGGTCAACCCCCAAACCCCTTGATGAGCAGAGGCTTGCGTCACTCATCCTTTTCATGACTGGCGTTTCCATTCATAACTCCGTTGCTGTGGTGTCCCCATGTCTGAGCCTGCAGCACTTTAGGCAGCCTCTTGCCCTTTGTGTAGGCGTGGTACCAGAAGTTAAGGAAGAGGAACAGGAAAATCAGGCCATACAGGCCGATGATGTAGACGAAGATAGGGAACTGGTAGGGGCAGTCTTTTATGAAGAAATACTGGGAGATGTGGCTGGTCACCATAACAAACTGGATCTGGGAAGCAACAAAGAAAGAAGGGTTGATTCTGTTGCCATTATTTGCCACAGGTCTTCATAAGAGTAGGCTTTGAGAACACAAGATACACAAAACTAAAACAATGAGTCGTCCTGCAATAGATCACTTGACATACCAGCTGAATCGTAGTGAGATATTTCTTCCACCACAAGTACTTCTGGTAGCTGGGGCCCATGGCAGTCAGGCCATAGTATGAGTACATGATAACATGGACAACACAGTTAAGCAGGGCATGGAATGTCCCCAGACCACCTGAAAAACAGGGAGCGCGTCAGGACCACCACCACAAAAATCAAGAAAATTCATAATAGAATGCATTTCCTGTAAATTTACAATAAAAAACAAAAAAAACTAAAAAGACAAGGAAATCCTACCTGCTGCAAACCGAACTCCAAACCACCAGGTGAAAGGCATGATTGAGTGATGGTAGACATGAAGAAATGTCACCTGGCTATTCTTCTTCCTCAGTACAAAGAAGATCTGTATGGGGACACAAGCATCCTTTGTCACAAAAAACTGTGAGACACTGGTAGTTGAAAATTAATGTAATGATTTGACTAATAGATTTACTGTGGTCCGAAATGCAATACAATACATTTATGTACTCAATTCTTATGTTTGAGAATAGTTTTGCGACTTACTGTGTCCAACATCTCAATGAACTTTGAGAAGTAGTAAAGCCAGCATGTTGCTGCCATCTAGAGGAGATGGTGAAGAATATTTTAGTGCTTGTTAAATACAGATCCTACTCCACATGTTCACTGCAAAACTCAAGTCAGATGCTTCAGGGCATCCCAGTCTGTAAAATGAGTGGCTTACCCGCACAGCCTGTGGCGAGTCGGAGTAATCGACCAGGTCACAGCGAAAGGAGTATCCTGTTCCCCATCCGGACATCACAAACTAAAGAACAGGGCAAAGTACAGTTATTAACAAGTAACTGGGGGTTTAGGAAGGGGTTTAAAATAAATCAATGTCCCTTCAAAAACTTTATCTTCACTTTTAACATCCTTTTTAGACTTACTAAATTAATGTCTGACTGCCATACAATAAAAGCTAAACTGTATGAGGGTAATGTTTTATAAGAAAATAAATATTCTAATGGGAAAAATAAATCACTGAGCACAGCTGGGATAACAGGTTGAACAAAGTGTCATTATTTACAAACCAACGCCTAAAAATCCAATGCGTCACCCCAAAATGATTGTACTGGAAAGGCAAGCGTCGACAAAAGTAGTAAGTCTCGACTAGATAGTTGCAGGACAATCATGATGAAGCTATGCAGCTCTGAGGAAACAACTGCATGGAACGAAGACACCTGCCAAGCTGGTTTAACCTCAGATCAAATAGTCAGTTTTACCCCCCCCCCGAGTCTAGAGGATTTCACAAGACTGTATGAAATGAGTTACTGCTGTGTGAAGCTCACATTAAGAGAATGATTCAGCAGCACAAATTTCAGGTCAATGGTGCAGGACAAAAGATAAACGCGGTGACTCACTTCATAGCACATGTAGAGTGAGAGAGCCACCACGCTGAAGTTGTACACAATGAGAACTCCTTTGAGGTCAAAGGCTTTGCGGTTCTCCATGATCCGTGGCCCCAGTGATGTGACAAAGTAAATGTACGCTGCGATGATGATCGTTTGGGGGAGAGGAGACGACATAAGCAACCAGGACCCTGTCCGTCTGTCTGTAACAGAAACATGTTGACAGGTTTATGAGCTCAATGGAGGTTCAATACACGAGAAGTGAGGCCGCATAGCACTTTAAAGTGGATTCATATACAGAAACAAACCCAAAAGAAGGATGGTGTAGGTTTTTAAATGGACATGTCACCGAGTCATCTTGAATGCTTAATGCGTCTGGAATGTTCAAAGACTCACCTGCATTTTGGATGAACTCATCATAAATGAGTGCGGCCGACGACTTTATGTGATCAAATTCCATTGTTAAACAAAGTCCTTGCAATTCACCTACAAGAGAAAAAAGGCAAGAGGTTAGGTAGCCAGAATTTTTTTGAAATGTAGGTACATTTACAAAAGTTGCTAAATACACCAAATAGGACAATGAGTCCCCCCCTTCTCAGAAGATATAAAAAATAAATCACAGCAAAGTTTCACATTAAAGAACTGTCAAGTCTAATACCCTGTAGTTCCTCCACTTTCATAAGTCCCAGAAAGGAAGTCTCTCTTGAAACAAATGCTGCAAAAGTTGTAAAACCAAAAGACAACAAGTGCGACTTGTGCCGTTCACTGACAGCACATTTGTTTAATGGTTTCTGACAAGACAAGAACCATGTATATGTACATTTTTAGAAAAGAAAAAAAAAACCCACAAGACAGCACACTGGTGGTGGGGGAGGGGGCACCCGACCATCCTTTTTTGTTGCCCCTCGGAGGCAAACAAGGCAAAGATTGTACCGGGAGTACAATGAGTAACAGTCAGTGTCTAAGTTGTCACAGAACAGTAACAATTTATTCAAGAAAAATCTACCCATGGCTGATTTGGTTGCCCAGTTACAATGTACTACATGCTTTTATAGATATGTGTATCATAACAAAAGCGCGCCATCTTGACTCATGCTGGGCATCATACAAACCTACAGAGTGAGACTTGACCGTAATAGTTTCTCAATGGAGGTGCTTTACAAGAAACCCAGCTCTGATGCACTGTGCTTTACAATTAAGTCACACTGTAATGTTGTCAAAGAGTGGCCAGCATTTTCCAAATGTGTGCAGAGTCTGCAGTCTCAAATCAAGCAGTTACATAAAATGCAAACGTTAAAGAGTTTCTGGACATGGGGTGAGGCCTGGCAGAGTTACAGGGTCGATACTGGCTCCAGTGGGGCAAGGTACGTAATGACTGGCTTGACTTGTTTGTCAAACCTGCTTGTATTACAGAAAAGTATGCGAAGGGTAACATCATTTCTTAGACAAACCAGAAGTAAAAAAAAAACAAAAAAAAAAAAAAGGTTCTCAATAAGCTATAATGGTTTGAGTTCCCTGCCCCCAGAAAAATATAAAAATTGTGTGGGGCAGTGAGTAGTTAAAAAAAATAAACGAAAAAAATAAACCCAACCACATGTTTGCAAAGTGAGCATGAGGAACAACCTTACATGACAGGTTTTCAAGGTGTGTCTACTTGAATGAAACAGGGCATGGATAAGTCATTGGGGTTATTGTTCAAAAAAAAAAAAAAAATTATTGCTGTCTGGAGTCTCTACACTAATGAAGACAAGGCAAGCCTCCACACGCCAAATAACGTTATAGTCAGGGGCTGCTAATTACCATGGCTAATCCTTCATCCACATTTGAGGGAGATGTGGTACTACATCAACGTTCAGAGTTATTCAATAACTGAGGCAGACTTACTCAAGTGTTGCATAGCCACACAAACAGGTTAAAAAAATATAAATAAAATGCCACAATACTGAACACATCTTTGTATTAAAAACACAAGACGCAGTCATGTCATACATCAAATTGGTCTAATCAAATAAATTAATGGATTGACTTCCAAATTTGGCCATTATCACAATTCATAAAACATTTTCTCCATTTCATCTGAGAACATTAACCGGTCTTGCCTCCTCGCACTTTCAAGTTAATTCCACTGCGGGTAGAAGCAATTTTTTCCAAGCAAGTTTTTCCTCATATAAAAAGACACTCAATTTAGAGTGCACCACTGAAGGCATCAAAATCGGAATAAACACTTAGTTTCAGCTAATGCCAGTTAATTGTACACACCAGTATCGCTATAATCCTCATCAAGAGGCCGAGTTGACGAGGACCAGGTGACAATTAATGAAAACCCAGTCCTACAAACCACCATCCAATTTACAGCGACAAGAAGTGTTTTAATAATGTGTCGACTCACGTTCACAGATTTTTCTTCTTCAATATGCAGATTTAGTAAGATTCAGTATTTTGAGTCATTTCACTTAACTTAAATTCATTTTTATTTTTTAAAAGTAAATTACTAACCTTTAGCGCTGCTGCTGCTGCTCAACTAAAATCCTTAGTCTGCAAAGTTGTCTATAGCCAATCCCCCCCGGCTCACCTGCACCTCACCAACAGGTGTGCCTCCAGCTCTGCTCAATCGCTGACACAGCCCGCTGCTGTCCTTCCTTTTGCTCCATCGGAGGGCGGGGTCTGCCCTCCCAATGACGCCTCCTCGTTCGCTGATTGGACAAGATACAAGTTCGATCTCGAGCGATACATCACCAACGAGTCTTTGTTAACAATACAGTAAATCCTCTTCAGGCGCAATTAATCATCGGTTTCAGCACAGAAAAAGGAGCTTATTGATGCGTTTTTCCATAACCTCAGCAAGATTACACAAGCAGGTGAAGAGGTAGCATCCCCAGTGCTTTTAATGTTAGACAAGAGGCAGCCAAGTGAAAAACTGTACAATTCAAGACACTTCAGGTAATTTGGGTGAAAGAGCTGACTGCTACATTATATGATAATAAGAGACAAGACATAAATAGTGTTTTCATATTCAAAATCTCTGGATCATTACCAAGAAATAATGGCTATGTTGATCACTGTACTGTGTTTATGTTATTAGTGGGTTTAGGGAGGGGTCATTTGGGTTCCAGGTGTCCACATCACAATATGTAAAACTGTGAAAGGGGGAGAGGTCAGACAGAAAGGTTTCAGTATCACTCCTTCCTGCTAAGTTTCAGCAAGTGCTGGCAGTAGAACTTAAAAACAAATGCAAAGCATGTCAAGAATGACAACAAGACACGGTGTGTCTCTGAATACCCAGTCCCTCCCATGTGAGACTTATGTATCTTGTCAACTTGGTTGCAGAAGCACATAAACATTAAGAGAGACACCACACCTTTTTAAACTCTTGCACATCTTCCTCTCTAAACACTTTAATGTCCCTTTAACCAAAATCTTACATAAGTACTACACATTGTCTAAACTATTCAGCATCTGTAAACGGTCAATGCATTTGAATTTGCACAAACATTGGCAGACATCCCCCATGACTACAATTAATTACTGAAAATACAAAATTGCTTTGCAACAGGTTAAGGGGACTTCAGCAACATGACACTTGCTGGATACCAAGGACCGTGTTGGTTTTACATTCCAATAAAAAAAATAAAAATAGCAAAACAATAACAATGCTATAACAAATATATAAAAAACCCCAAACATTCATAACATTGTTGTACAATTGTTTACACATTTCAATTCCATTTTTAAGGCCTTCATCTTTGCCCGCAGTGATGAAACAGGAGAAATTTCCCTAAACCCATTAACATCATCGATCATTTTTTTTACAAGCTAATCGTGGAGGGTGTGTGCTCATTTGCATGGTCAGATGCCTCAACGTGTACTTTGCTCACACATACAAAACATCAGAATTAATCTTCATCACTGCTCCATGCATCCTGTAAGGCAGGGTTCACTGAAGACTGGCCAGCAGCACCCTGTAAGGAATCAAGACATTCAGCTCAGCATCACATCTGAATTAAGATACTCTTCTTCACATGATATACAACATGTGCACATTTGCCCAACAACTATTTGTATATGACAGCTATTGTGGAGTTCAGCGGATAAATGTAGTTAAACTAGTTAAACGGGAAAAAGACAGGTGATGGGGAGCCATTTGTTATTACATAAGTGTTGTGAAAAAAAGTGAGCCGGGTTCAGGTGTGAGGAAGACGCTACGGAAACTGACTTACACAGCATTTGTTTACTGAGCCCTGCCGAGGACATACAGTGCCAGCATCCAACGTGTGGACACATGCAATGCCAACACCAAATCTAAAGGACACCTCCTGGTCCACATACTGCCTATAGGTTTTCTCTATGGAGTCTTCTTTAACTGGCCTAAACCAGAACTCAAATTCTTTACCTATGTCATGCTGAAGTAAAGTGATTTGCACTCTAAACTGCGGAGCCAGTAGGTTCTTGTAAACATATAAGAGAACATTCCCAGAGAACACCAATATCTGCTAGCCTGATGCCTGAACTACGTCACCCGTATCATTTTAGCTGTCATCACCCTGACTAGGAGAGAGACAGGGGCCAAGAACTAGAGCTGGAAGGTCAGTGAACATACACTTGTAGGGTCTACTAAGGACCCCCAGCATGACCTGTCATACCTTTCCTGTTACCTGAATTACACCCACTATGACATGTCTTTCACAATAAGCACTACTACAATGTAGAAAAAGCAGGAAAGAGGGCTAATGTGTTTGTAGTTTTTATTGCGTTATTGTGTTCATCATGTGTCATCTGTCCATTATCTCACTTATGCCATAAATGTTTAAAAGACATCAATTAATTATCATGTTCACACTTTAAGAGAGTCATTAAATTCTTACTGTGGGCACTGGAATACAACAAAGTGACATAAAAACGCTTAAAATAGAGTTCATCTGTTACACGTCTTATGTCCTATTGTTAGAACGTGTACCTTATTTGCACTGTTTGACTCTTCTTCCACGTCTGAGGCACGAAGGACAGGAACCCACGCCAGGACGTTACAATCTTTACCTCCGCTATACAACTCCTGCATATAAAGAAGCACAAAGACACCTCAGTTCTGATAGATTGATTCACACACTGTTGCAGGAAATGGAAAAAGAACTGCTGTTGCCGCATAACCTTCACCCTAAAGCAATTCCAAACATGGGCATCAGCACCAGGGGGAAACCAGCGTTAACAACCAGGAGTAAACTAATAAATTAGCTGTCCACGCAACACAAATGGAACTCATGGGACACATTCTCGTTGCTGTGGGTCACATCTGTGTCATTACATCAGACAAGAGAAGAGAAAAGAAAGACCTCCATTTCTGGAACTCTCAAGAGTGACAAGCAGCCGAACAGCATTCCTGTGTTACACAAGCAAAGTCTGTGTATGACACCGGATGTTGAGATTGGCCAATAACGAGGGTGTGGTTAAAGTTAAAATGCAATATAGCTCTTTGAATGTAAGTGGCGTTGTAACTATGTATCGTAAATGCCACATGACACATAGAGCGGGAATGTTCCTTCAATAGCCATATGAAGTTTGAGGATGATTAACCAAAGTATTGCAGAGTTATTCCCACTTCTAGTATGAAATTGCTTCAAATGCCTGCCATGTGGACTTTTTTTGGAATATTCCAGGTGCAAGCCCTGGTAAGAATGTGCTGGTTGTTTGCCAAATTGTATTTCAAATCAGCAGGATTTAGCACAAGAATGTGTTTCCTGACAAATGTCTCCACCAAGGAGAAAGAGGTGACATGTAAAAGTGTGTTATGTAGTCTATAGTAGTCTAATACAATATAATTGGATACATGCAAAGTTGTGACACCAGTAAGTGTAATAACAAAAGTAATTTGCCAATTTAGTAACATGATGTTTGATTAATCTTTTCCTTTATGTAGTTTGTCTTTGTTGTTAGTCAAATATTTTGTCGATGGAGTTGGGAACATGCCTGGAAGAGATGCAACAGCGCTGCGTTTGGAGACCTCGATAATGCTCTACGTACTCGGGATGCTGTGTGCCTGCTCGCTCTGGGGAACAACATCACCTGAAGTCGCACTATTTTTGGTATATACAAAATGGGCCATGTCCATGGACGGTGGATGGGGCTTTGACTTCAGTGAGTTCATAAAATGTTTGTGGGGGCTTTTGCACCCAAATATCCGTACCTGACAAGTATATACAAATTCTAGCATTGCTAGGGGATGCAACTATGAGAAGGCAAGTGTATTGCTCAGGACCCAAATGGGCACTGCACTAGTCTTGATAAAGTTTGTTTTAGTCAGACATTACTGTTATGTCAGTATTTGGCCAACCGCTGAATTGGCATGTCTATTGTAAAATTAACAACAAAATAAAACTAACATGGTCATCAAAAAAAATGAAGCTCCCTTTCCACTGATATTTAGTAATTAACCCCATAAAAATCTGTATATTCTCGCAATGCTGAACCTCGTATTGCCTGGGTGTTTGTACATTTGTTCCGTTGCTGTTTTGCAATAAAAGCCTTAACAGTAGCTTCAATCTACGCTGATCCCCAGGCGGTAGTATTGTCGAACGGGTTATCATCTACACCATTTAAACTACACAGGGGAACAAGGCAGGGCTGCCCACTCTCCCCTTTGTTATTCACTTCAGCAATCGAACCACTGGCCATGGTAGTCCGTGAGAGTGCCAACTATAAAGGCATCGCATAGCTCTGTATGCTGACGATATTATTTTGCTTTGCTTCAATCTGAAGCAGACTCTACCCATTATACTTGACCTGGGACGTTTGCAGGTTACAAAATAAACTACTCCAAATCAGTAATACTCTTCCTAGATAAAAAGGACAGACAAGCTCCTCCATTTCATACTTTTTTGGTTTCTCAAGAAGGTTTCTCCTACTTAGGTGTTAACTTTGCCCCTACTATTGACAAAATTGTACCAAGCAATTATAACACCTTGACAGATAAGGTTACACACCTTATTAATAGGTGGACAAATCTACCCATTTCTACGATTGGGCGCATAAATGTTCTGAAGATGGCAATTTTACCAAAGTTTTTATATCTTTTTCAATCCATTCCTTTGGCTCCCCCACCTTTGTTCTTTCAGTTACTTAAAAAGCTTTTTAAAAACTTTACATGAAACAACAAACGCCCGAGATTAAGGCTCTCTTTATTATACTTACCATATGAAAGGGGAGGGCTACAGGTACCTAACCATGAGTGGTATTACCAGGCTGCTCAAATTAGGGCAGGAATGTTTTATTTTGATGAAGAATCATCCCCCTGCATGGGTCTCTATAAAGTCACACTTAATTGACATAAATCTCTACATAAATTCTGCAAACAAAACTATACTAATCAAAAAGACCAAAAACCCCTTTCTAAAAAACACTTTAAATGTTTGGCACAACTCGCTGGCATTCCTGGGAGAAAATACAACCATATCTCTGTTTACTCCGATTTATGGCAATGATGACTTTCAACCTGGTAGAGCAGACCCAGGGTTTAAAGCCTGGGCATCCCAGGGAATAGCCAAAGTCGCTGACCTTTACAATGAAAACTTGATCTTTAGTTCATTTCAGGAACTTAAAACTAGGTATGGAATTCCTACAAAACATTTCTTTAAATATTTGCAACTTAGAAGCTTTATCTTGTCCAGACAAAGTAATAGTTTGACAATGCCCCCCAGATCCACTTTAGAAGATTACACTTTAAAATTTCTATACTCCAGGGGACAGGTTTCCTTACTGTACAAGCTCTTTGAAAGCAAGTCTAAAGAATCTTCACAAAACACGCTAGAAGCATGGAGGACAGATCTGCATGACAACTTAACAGAGGAGGAGTAGTCAGAAGCATGCTCTGTAGCACAATCTCAATCTATTAATATAAATTCCAAATTATTACAATATAAATAGATAAGTAGACTAATAGATAAGTAGACTAATTATATATATATATATATATATATATATATATATATATATATATATATATATATATATATATATATATATATATATATATATATATATATATATATATATATATATATATATATATATATATATATATATATATATATATATATATATATATATATATATATATATATATATATATATAAAAACCCCATCTAAGTTTCACCACTTTAATCCCAACATACCTGACACCTGCCTCAAATGCAAGGATCAAAAGGGGACACTCTTTCACTGTATGTGGGAATGCCCACAGATACTCGCATTCTGGAGAAAAATCTCATATCTAGCAAGACAAATCATTGATGAAGTGGTGCCTGTCAATCCTAAATTATGTTTATTACACCGGATGGCTTTAACGCCTCCCAAAAAGTAAGATCTCTACTTAATATTTGCTTTTTGGAAGCCAAGCGATATATAGCTTCCTCATGGAACTCAGATACACCCTGTACCACTTCACAATGGCTAAAGGGAATGACATTTTACATGGTTTTGGAAAAGATCAGTAACACTGCAAAAAACAGGCTTGATAAGTTTTGGAAGATTTGGGACATCTTTTATATTTTCCTTGAGAGAAACGATATGGATGGATTGATGACAACCTGAATTGAATTTTTTTTTGTGTGTGTGTATTCAATTTCTTTTTTTAAGCTGATGGTGAAATGTCTATTCATGGACTGATATATCGAAGCCTAAGATACTATTTACAAATAGGCCAATGTGTATTGGGGTTTTTGAATACGATTATCATATATTAATATTGTTTTGTTTGTATTGTAATTTATGTTTTTTTTTTGTTTTGTTGTTTTTATTTCTCCATACCTATGTGCCTTGTGTGAGTTTTGTTGTTTTATATAAAAAAAAAATGAGAAAACCTTCAATAAATTCTTGGTATAAATAGTAGCTTCAATCAGGCAATTTGCTGTGTAGCAAGGGGAACTCAGTAACTCCACATTACATTAATGAATGAAATAGTAAACTTTTCTTTGAGGTCCCACTGGCTTTCTGACAACCCCATCCTTTAATCCTCAAATGCCAAGAAGCACAAGCAGAGTATTGTACGCTACAGATGATAGTGAAACTAAAGTAACATCTATATTTGACTCAGATAAAGGAGAGATAAAGGAGATGGCATTGCTTTCGTGCGGTTGAACTTTCATCATGTGCCTTCTGAGAATAACACAGTCAGAGTCGACATTTAGGCTGAGAGCACCAACTTAGGTCATACATGGGGAATGCCTGCATTTGCATTTGTACAGCAGCTCAGGAAATGTTGACATAACAATGTTATCGGCTTATTTATTACTGCCATGGTAAAAATTGCAAATTTAACGCTGGACAGAGAGAAAGTGAATTCTCTAAGCGTGCATGAGACCAACAAGGCCTGACTGTCAGAGCAAACATTAATAGATGGAAATACAAACAAAGGCATCAGTGCAGCTAGATGGGTACGTTGACCAGGTGCAGGGAACAGCCACCACCTGGGTGTGTCTCACCTGGTAGTCTGGGTGGAACTCGCAGCAGTCGACGTTGTTGTAGTGACCCCTGAGCATAGTGACCAGCTCTCCGGTGTGGATGGCGTACATCGCCACTGAGCTGCCACATGGCACAAACACAAATTCTGGGCTGCAGCCACGCGACACCGTGAACTGCAGCCTTTTACGGCTCTCGTTGGAGACCTTCCCGTAATTTACCTGAGGGATAAAAAGTGAAGGCACACACGGTTATAATATACAAACTACTACATGAAACGGTTTCCTGAATGAACGAAGCATTGTCCTTTTTTGAAACAGATAATACAGACTCTTTTTTGTTACAACAATATGGTTATACCAACTTTTCCATTTAGATTTTAGACATTCTAAGACTTTTCCAGGACTTGCTGAGAGAATTCAAGACAAACAGGTATAAACGAGCAAAATGCTTCACCTTGATGTTGTACAATTACTAGGCTTAATTCATGTCTGTCAAAAAGGTTTGAGTTGTAGAATGCATTTACTTTTACATCCCATACTGTAAAACAACAATTCTGATTTGCCCAGGAGAGAAGGTCATCCACCCTTTAAGTTACTAGTTGTCTTATGCTACAGTCAGAAGATGGAAAGATGCCCACCATGGCAACCGCAGCCTGAGACAGCAGAGCAGGAAATTAGAACAGGAGTGTGTGTGAGAGCCCAGTGCTTGGGTTTAGTTACATAATAACATCATCACTTAGTCACATCATTCCTGACAGGAATAATTATTTTTAGTAGTTCCATCGGTTTTCTTGATTCTCTCCCAAATACAACATTTTTAGAGACCAGCAAACAGTTTAGAAAATAAATTACTATTGCTATTACTGATTCCCATGTGCCCTTAAAGAAAATTAGTTACCTTGCTCTCTTGGAACTTAACAATTTTAAATCAAATTCAAGCTATTGTTTTGGTAAAATAATTGAAAAACAGCTCAAATTGAAGAGAGTTGTAACAGTAATATACAGAAGTTTCAATCTGGCATTCATGTTTACCGCAGTACTAAGACAGCCCCAGTTAAATGTCTAAATATTTGAGAATGGTGGATGAGAAACCAGTTATAAATGGTACAATCAAATTAAAAACAAGTGTCAAAAGGAGCACTGAGATCCAGTATAGATAACCGGGTTGAACCTGTATTTCAGAGATCAACAATGACCACATTATGAACAGTTTCAGCAGATTCCAAAACCAGACTAGAAGGTATCAATGGACATTTGGGGTATTTGTTCAATTGGTTCTTCACACCTCTTTCAAGGATCTAGTTTGGGGAAAGGCAAATGAAATGGGTCTGGAACTGCTGCATCTGCATATTCTAAAGTGTTAATCCAGGTAGGTTAGGAGGACAACGCATTTACTCTCACTCCCATTCACACACACACACACACACCTTACCAGTGTGTTTTCCCCTGTGGCACTATTCCATAGTCGCATGCGGTCATCAGTTCCAGTGGTGAGGAGGTAGAGGCCATCGCCAGTAAAGCACAGGCCATTCACTCTGCCATTATGAGCTGTGTTCACTGGTTAAACACAGGTAAAACAGATATCATGCGTGTCATCTATATCTCCTCCATCTTTGTCACAGAGCATATTTTTTCTACATGATCACTTCCCATACCTAGCGATCAATGACATGCTTTCAGTGCGTGTGTTGAACACAAACAAAACTTCAGGAAAGAAAAGAAAAAAATAGTATGGTATAGTATGGGCAGAATGTTGACCTCTACCCTGGGAGACATACTCAGTTATGTTTACCTGAAATTTATGAGACATCACAGCAGAGAGGAGGAAAATGTTGCTGTAGAACTAACTTTTAAAAGAAAATTAGCTTAGCTTTCAAATGAATCATTATAAGCACCAGTTACCAGGAAGGTTCATGCTGTGGCTCTAGATCAATGTGAGCCCCTAACGTTCTTCAGTTTGTACTTCAAGACACAGGAGTGATGTGCACCTCTCCTCTTATTGTATGTATGTAGTATGTCTGTGCAGCATCACAGTAAGGTATATGCCATATCGTGAGGTTGCTTAAGGGACGTCTTGGACAGTGATCAGTAGATTGATATAGATGAGGCAGGAGAAATGTATGACAGGAAGTAAAACCCCCAAAGATTTACCCTGCCAATTACACCCCAAGGGGCCCGTCTGACACAAATTTCTGTCCTGATGCCTGATTCAATGCCTCTTTTATTCCTTCAAAAGGCTATTATGTCTACAAAGAGCCCCACCCACTCAGGGTAAATGAGGAAAAAGACAGTGGAAAAGAAAGGAAAGGGGAGAGGTAACAGTACCTGCCTCAGAGGATGCTTTTGACTTGTCTCCATTGTGCTGGTCCAGAGTGAAGAGACACCCAGAAGCCCGACGCACGTCCCATACTTTCACTTTGCTGTCTGCACTTAGAAGGAAAATGAGGCCATTAATTCAGTTGTATACTCTCCTGGTGAATAACTGTAAATATATTCCTATAAAATGAGGATACGTTTGATTATCCTACTCCGTACCATACAGGGATTTACAGGTACAATACATGCTCCAACTGATGCACTGCTTCATATACAGTAGTGTGTGTAAGCCAGTGTTTGTCTTTAAAGGTCAGTTTTCTGTTGGGGATTAACATGCAGCACCATAACAGAACATCATACACTTCTCCGAGTGCCTCTCTGTTCCAGTTGTTTTTTAAAAATCACTTACAGTCCACAGGGAAAGCAGCACACTGATCCCAACTGGTTAATTAGCAGGTCTAATGTTGCATAAAACAGGTGGGGACTGTATCTACCATATGCTATACTGACAGGGCTACTAGCGATGTGGTGGCATTATCCTTGACTCCGTGTTGCAATGTGGCCAGATGGGCGGGAACGGAGATGACAAGACCTGCTGGGACACAGCATGGTGAGGATTGTCCTGTAACTGGCATTATTCTTTGATGTGGCTCCGAGGGAAAGCTGGGTGAATGGTTTTTAGATAGTGAATCTCCACAGAAAAACTGCGGCAGTTACCAGGGCCTACCTGGCAGTGGCTAAGATGTGCTCATATCTGGGCGACCACCGCACAGACAGGACCTCTGCTCTGTGACCTAGAGGGGGGAAAGGTAAAATTTGTGTGTGTGAGTAAACAGCAGTAAAATGTAAGTGTGTGTATTTGTGGTCTAGTTCACTAACCCTGAAGAACATGTATCCGTGAACCAGAGTTCAAGTCGCACAGCTGGATTTTAGGGTTTTTGGTGCCAACTAAAAAAAAACAACACAGAGACAAAGGAACAGTTGAGGGAGGAGACTTAAAAGGCTGCCAATATTTCCTTGTTTAAAAACACTTAAGAAGTGAATTACAAGTTAAACTTTTTTACAATAGTACATTCCTACTTATCGATATTGTCACTGTTTACAGATTGTGAGTATAATCTGCGACAAAGTGTGTACAAAGGAGAGGTGCTTCAGAAAGGTAACATCTAGAATACCTTATTCTCAGCAGATAAGGTGTGGTAAATATGAAAACTCACTGATATGAACTTCTGATAAAGGTGAGCGAACACACCCAGCATGTATACATAGGAGGAGGGCAAGATGGTTTATTTAGAAGTGTAACAGAACAAAGAAGCTAATTGGGGGTGTCAAAAAAATCTAAACAGCCCAATGCAGAATTCATGAGCTACTAGTGCTTTTAAGAACAGATTCCCTTAAAAGTGTCTTCCTGGGTAAAACTGAAAACTGAAGGGAGGTTTGCAACTTGTTTGACAGGCACCTGTAATACCTCTGAGAGGGAAGGACACAAAAAAAACAAAAAAAAACAGACACTGTTTCCGGCTCAGAAACAGGCGTGTCAGAGGGATTGTGTGCGACAGGGAGGACCCGTGTGCACATTTATGAACACATACTCAGGCATACGTGAACCTGTTGGTCCTGCCTGGTGAAACTGTGAGGTCACAACAAGATTCCTAAGTTTTGTTTCACGACAGAAATCTATGTCTCTGAACCTGAATTTCTTTGTTACCAGCTTCTGTCCCCTCTAGGTGCATATAGATCTCTATGTAACCTGGGTTAAAAACTCAGGTACAGGGTAGGTGCAGTGTCTGCAGTGTGTTGTGGGGAAAGATGGAGTACACTGCTTGGAGAAACAAACTGACAGACAGGGTAATTAATGAGATTTATGTCGATGTTTTTCATCACACAATGATAGAAATGCCAACAGGTACTCCAAGTGGTTTGTTCTGTGTCACTGGGATCACTAAAAACAGTGACCGCATTCTCACATACACACACCTGCAATGAGACTGTGTTTCCTGGCAATGGGGGACAGGTGGTGGCTGTAGACATTGCCCTCAAACAGAAAGACTTCAGCAGGCTGAAGAATCAAAAAAGTAAGAGAAAGAGAGGGTCAGTAAGTTATGGCAGAAACTCAGCTATCAGTATGTTTAGTGCTTGTGTGTGTATGCTAAATGAGCATCTTAATTTTATGATAAAATATACAGCTGTGACCTTAAATAAAGCCATGGCCTTAAGTTCGGCTGTAGTATAAATTCAACACAGTGCATGGTTGCATTAGGTAAAAATAAAAGCGAGCAGAGATGAGGGCACAGCAGCTCAGAAGGCAGCTCACCGGACTGCAGTGGTGGTTACAATGCAAATTCTTCAGCAAATATAAAAAGCCTCTCTGTGCCCCATCTGTCAGTGTGTGCCAGCGCCGGCATGGACTCTGCCAATGGACGGGCGCGCACACACACACACACACACACACACACACACACACAGACAGAGGGGGCTCTGTTTCCATAAAAATACCACACATACAAATACACTACGTGCCCACCCATGTGCAAATACACAACAATAAATAATGTAATAGTTATGGGCGTGTGTGTGCGTATGTGGGACAGAAACTCACAGAGCAAAACAAATGAAAGGTCTGTGGGTTATTTTGTGTCCTTTCCCTGACCTTTTGAGGTAACCGTGATGCCAGTGTAACTCTAGCACAGCTCAGGGCCTGCCACATGGGACTATGTGGCATAGAAAGGTAGCAAGCATGAAGCAGAAAAGAAGAAAGAAAAGGGGAAGAGATAGTGAAAAGAGCAAAAAGAGAGAAAGGGTGGTGGAACTATAAGAAAACAAATGTAAGCTAGTTACTTCATAAACCAATCTCCAATACAGCATCATATTGAAAGGTCTTTCTGATTTTGTCCATCTCAATTTCCACACTGCGCACGGGGGAAGGTGTACTTAATAAAGTGGTCACTCAATGTTTATCACATTTAACATCCCTACCTTTAGTGTCTCAGTGTCCCAGACTTTCATGGTCTTGTCAAAGGAACTGGAGACGAACATGCCTGTGTCATAAGGATACCACTGGACTGTCTCCACGCTGAATTTGTGAACATACTGGCTGGACCTAAATTACAAAAAAATAAAGTCATATCACAATGGGCACAACAGATATTTTTTTTCCTGCACTCTGGGTCTGCCGACCACTTCACTTAGTATTTTCGCTTATTCAAAAATGTTTTTTAAATAACAATCTCATATTAAACAAGTATTGTAGTATGCGGTTTGGCACTAGATACAATTGAAATCATTCTTCTGTTGTATTGGCTATTCATTTTACTGATGGATCTCCATTTAATAAAGTTGACACATTTAAATATTTGGGACTTTGGATTGAGTCTGGAATTTCTTTTAGGCCTCATACTGTATTGATTTTATTATAAATAAAACAAATGCCAGAATACTATCCTACTATCGGTCAATAATTGTTTTACTCTCCAAGTAAGAAAACAGATTGTCTTACAGGTTTTATTTCCCATTATAGATTTGGGAATATCATTTACCAAAAAAAACTCTCAAACACAAATGCTGTTTACAATAATATCTGTAGCTTTGTCTTGAAGTGCCCTTATTGCATGTATCATTGTTTCCTGAATGATCCACTTAACTGTTTACCACTATACTCTTAACATTTTCACTGGCTGCTCTTTGTTTTCAAATGCATTTACTCTGTCTATCATTTTTATTTAGCAGTTTTTTGTTCCATTTAGATCATCATACTCACATTTTTTACGGTGCCTAGAATCTTTAAAGAAATTAGCAGACAAATTAGGAGACGTGCTCTTAAGTACGGCTGCACAATGAATCAAAATATATTCCAAATCGCAGAAGCTGCAATTTTTTGATGAAGGTCAAATGTGTGACAAAACAGCATTATAATCAAGTACTGTAGTACACCATTAGACTGGAATAATTTGCCTTACGTACTCAGATTGAATACTTCTTTTCATGACTACAAGACTGTACTTGTTCTTGTTTTTGATTGTTTTTACTTGAAGTTTATAGGTAGACACAGTAATTTGACATGGTTTTTCTGGCAGTGTTTATTTTATTTCTCATGAATCTTTTGGAACAGAGATGTAGCGTGTGTGGTTTGGGATTGTGGGAGAGAGCTTATGTGTGTGTTCTAGTTGATGTTACAATGTTGATTGTTTTGTGTCATTTAGTTTAATATTTATTATCATTATTTATGTATTTAGTTTTTGTTTAAATGAGGAAAACGAGATGGTGCATCTCATCTTAAATTAAAACAATTTCAATTTGAAATAAATTAAAACAATTAAATAAGTACAAGAAAATGTTGCTTATTTCTCTAACTGTCACCAAGAAAACAATTCCTCTGAACTGGAAATTGGTGGACCGACCTAATTTTAAAATGCACATCAATGGGAAAAAAAAAACACTTCTTTCCGTAATGACAACATGACAATTTTCAAGGCAAGATGGTTCCTATTGTTGTGCTTCTCTAAAGGTGGAAACAAGGTTGGACTAGTGCCACGTACATTCCTACAAGCACAACAGTACGAGACATCACACATCAACTTGGATACACATACTCATGCATGGCACGTTGTACTCATGAGCGCGTGTAAACACACTTACTAGGGCTGCTATAATTGTCATTGTTCATTAATTAGATAATTTATTTGCATTGTTTGTTCAGGGAATTTTGACCAAATCGTGTCACGTCTTTAGGTTGCTAGTTTTGTCCAAACACTAAAATCCTAAAGAGAATTCTTCTCCTACACATTTAAGACACAGAGGCGTGGCATGGTGGGCATTGCTGGCAGCTTCATAGAGTCAGACTGACAAACTGGATATGACAGCCATGGGGTTTCCCAAAAGAGGAAAGAAATGAAAGGAAAACATGATAACTGATGGCCGGGTTCTCTCCTGAATGGCCTGAGAGTGGTTCAAACGAGATAACAGGGTGGCACCTGCAGCGAGCAAGCCTCCTCCTATGGGTCTGAGGGCAATCCAAGAAAGTGACACTTCGTTGAGCCCTCACTTAAAAAGTTAAACAACAATAATAAAATTAACTAATAAAAAGAATGTCAAGGTTGACCCTGCTTTAAAGCCTTCCGATGGAGCTCTCTCTGCTGCTTGGGGCCTGGACTAAGGGACACTCCTGGCGTGCACCTCTGCACTGCCTTATGGTTTTATAAGGTGACAGTAGAGATCGTAGTATGGTGGCGACCTTGATTATGGCAATAATGATATTTGTTGTCATTTTTATTGTCGCTGCTTCTTTTTTTCATCTTGTTCTTACACTATGTAGTACAGGTCAGCTCTCTGTCATTGTCATACACTCCACCCTTAAACGCCATAGTTTACTTTGCACATCACAGCAACTATTTTCTCTTGGTATCAAAATAAAAAATGTAACTAAAATGTAATACAAAACTTTGCTGACGCAGATTCTTGCTTTAACTCTTCAGTGATGTGCAATCTTGAATTATGTTCAAAACAAAAATACAGTACAACACAAACCTTTATGCTGCATTCTCCTATAGCCCTGCTCAACTATATAGGTGCATGAATGATAGTTAGATTCAGACTGAGGTCACATTTCTGGTAATGTGACTTCAGTCTGACCTGCCATATCAGAATGTGTTTACTTTTAGTTTTAGATCTGCATCAAAATCAGAACCATGTATTAAAGTGAGAACTGGTCTCTATATTGGATTTTAAACCACTTATAAGTACAATGATGAATGACTCGGTTGGTACTTGTCACTGTGTGTCAAAATTAATTAATCTAAATTATTTGATGGGTAAATATGTATCTTGTATGTTTCTTGTGGAATTGTTGTCTGTAATCTTTTTTTATGCTTCTGTAAAGGGGATCACTGATCTCAACGGGTCTTACCTGGTTAAATATGGGTAAAATAATAAATACATTTTTAAAAAGTGCACAAAATAAGGTTTAGTGGGATGTTTGTGTTTACATCACCATTAAAAAACCAGGCCTGAGTAACAAATGAAGGAAGAAACATTCACTTGTTATGGTACATGGCCTAAAAGACATGGATGTGAACAAGCTTAGAAAGACGTGGTACTGGGAGAACTTAATGCAGTGCTACCCTCTAGTGGACAGATTGAGTAAATCGAGTAACACTGACCTGCCCACTGTGCAGACTGCCTTGCAGGTGTACTGTGGTTTTCCAGTGTAGTTCTCCAGGTCATAGATGACGATAACGCCATCTGCTCCGCCAGACAACATGCTAATCAACAGAAAGAGTTGACACAGATAGATTACTTTTTTTCTACAAACATATGACTGCTAGCAGTTGTCTATATAAAACTTTTCACAGAAAGATCTGGCTTACCCTAAGTGACTGGAACAAATATTTAAGAACAATAATAATAATTGTCAATGTTTATGTGGCATACAATTATACACAGTACAAAGAAGGCAAAATTTGTTCTCTGCATTTAGCCCATCCTAATCAGAAACTAGGGGTGGGCGAAGCGCTAGCTAGACTCTAGTAAATTTGGTATGCAAACTAGTCCTTTTAAGCTAATTAGGAGATGTTTCTTTTGGATTTTAATGCGCAAATTAAATGCTTAGTAATTATCCAGAGATCCTGTACAGAAAAAAAAATTATGCATCAAGAATCGTTTTGTAATTGCATCGCAGCCTTCTGAATCATAATGGAATCGAAACGTGAGGTGCCCAGAGATTCCCACCCCTATTAGGAGTAGGCAGCCATTGTGCAGCGGCCGGGGTTCAGGGCCTTGCTTAGGGGCATCTTTGGCAGTGGCCCATGCTGAACTCAAACCGGTGGCCCTCCGGTTCCCAAGCCAAGTCTCAATTAATCTATATTGTACAGGGCTCTTATCACAACATTTTGTGCAGGATAGGAACAGTACAACAGTTGCACAAGGGGATTTTAAAGTAGTGATTTATAAATCAGTAAATAGCAAATTGGACTTACTATCGGCCCTCTACTGCTTCAATGTCAATGGTATTGATGCCGTTTCCATGGACTCTGTCCACGTCTCTGTCAGGATTCAACTTCAGACTGAGGACCCTTTGTACAGAAAGGGGACACTCGATAAATTCATTTCACACCTTTCAAGCCCAAGCTGTTGATAAAAATAAGATAGAATAGTGGAAAAGACACCGCAAAGGAAACAGACATCAAATACACGCTAAATAATGAAACCATTACTAGACTAATCAGTTAGCCAATCAGGTTTTATGAGCTGTCTGAGTTAGTTAACTATGAATATGCCCCCTGGATTGCAGTAATGTCATTGGTTTTCGTCTTTATGCTGTTTATATTTGAGACACGCTTGTATTCTCTCTCACCTTCTCGTTGACTCTGCACGTCTCAGGCGCAGAGGGTCATCCAGACCTGCCTGCCTCGCTGTCAAAAATCCCAACATTGCTTCAACCTGAAGGAAAAAACTGGTCTTTTAAAAAAAAAAAGCAGGACTAGTATTTCATCTTCCGTTAGCGAACCTAGCTCAAAGGCGAGCATGTCACCTACACTGAAGTAAACTTCTGATCCAGACTGAATTTGTGGGCGTCCAACACGGCATGGTTGTACCCACCGCTCCGTAATAGCTAAATCCGCTATTTAAATCTATTAGGGTACGTTACTTTGATAATTTATTGTTTATTTTACATTCATTTCAACAAGCTTCGCAGCAACTCAAAACAAATGGGCCGCCATGTTGGAACGAAATGTCCATTGTATGACGGACACGATGATTGGCTGGTGAAGTACAGCCGTCCAATCACAAAACAGTTTATTGCCCCCCTCCCCCCCACGAACACTTACATAAACAACCCCGTGAGAGGGCAGACAGCTAACAAGGGAGACACAATACTCCCCATAACCTTCGGGGTTATCCCGTAAAGATGAGCAGGATTACCGGCGTTTTACGGCGTACGTTTGGAATAGTCCGCGACCACGTCGGGACAGATCATTTGGGGAATAAATATTACTTTATCCCAGAACAGAAGACATGGACAGGTAAGTTTAGCCGCGTTGAGCCAGTCGTGAATTCGTTTATGATCTTGATCCACGCATACAAATGAAGAAAGCTTTTTAAATCTTGATGTTCCAGCCAGCGTTATGTATTTTGAATTGTGCATGTAACGTTACCAACGCTCTTCCCTCCTTCCTAAAATGTGTTGCTGCTGATATGATTTTAGTATTTTTTTAAAACTCGCCACTAGATGGAGCAACCGCCTCAATAAAAACTTTATCTTTTTTATTGTATTTAATAAGATTTATTGGTATATATTTAATGCAGCTTACTGCAGTAAACATTTGACTGATTTTGGGGGACAAAATCACGTGGCATAATGATGGCAGCGCCACTGTCACTGGCCTTCAAAGAGGAAAGAGCCCTCCACTGGTGCAAACCAAATGATTACTTGTCTGTGATGAGGATTTAGAAGGAGGTCATATATCCCTACTGAGACATGGCAGTGGTACAGTATGTAATGCTCAAGCCAAGCAGTAGAACTGTGTCATCAGGCCAATCCATGGTGGGATGCCATTGCTGTCCTTCCTTCACACCATCTCTGACTGTTAGAAGGCCAAGGACGTGCTCATTGGCCTTGGACACTCAATGCCGGGGCTTGCTGTGAGTCCTTCTCCAGTTGTCCTGTCTTTCTCACTGAGTGTCCTAAAGAAGTGTGTCTAGGACAGGAAGATGGGGAGGTGTCAGCCATTATGATGACTAATGTCAATAAACGGAAAGGAGGTTTGGTGGTGCCCTTGGCACAGCTGCTTTTCTTAATTTGAGAAACACAACATGCTTTCTGTGAGGTGTTTACAAGAAGGACATGGTGACATGACTGACTGTCACTTTTATCAGATGACAAAACACAAACAAAAACACATTGTGGAAATTTCCAGCAATTATGTGTCATACCCACACCTGCACATTAACTCATTTTTGGGGAAACGCAGTGATGCACAAAGTTTGCGTAAGTCCTGTCTATCCTAGTTTAATTCATTAACAGAATCCAGACTAGAAATCCCAATTCCCCCTCCCTTTTCCTCCTTAAATCATCCTCATCAGCAGGGGTCCTACCCAGACTATAGGCCACAGGTCAGGGGTCACACTTCAAAGAGCACAACCTTTGCCTGCTCCAGACATGATACTGCTGGTTAACCAGCCACTCACTTTTGGTTCATTAGTAACAAAAGGTTATGTCTCATGATATTTGCCAAAATGATAATGCCTGAGCAGAGTTCACTCCCTTTCCAGATACTGTGTTTGCATGATTGTGAAACTGCACTACACAGCAGTAATCTGGGAAAAATTGTATCCCGCCCACACATGCTTGTGTTTGTCTCCCTCTCTTGGTGTCACATCATACAGCTTAGAAAAAGCCTTTCTTTGACGGGCATAGGCCGAGTAGATATCATACACTGCATACATTCAGTGGTACTTTTCTTTGAGGGCAAAACCAGGCTGTTTTATTTTTTTGTTTTGCTGGAGAGGGAATGACCTCTGGCAGTTTGCAAGCCTGATTTCTTTCTGACTGAACTTGACTTTGTGCTTCACCTTTTCTCAGCAGTTTGCAAGGGAAACTTGCGCCCACCTCGTATTTATAATTCATTACAAGGCTGCTCCTCCACCCCTGGCTGTCAGACTATTCAAATGAGACATCACAGAAGGCCATTTTCTTGCACGCTACAGGCTACCGGATTCACTGTCCAATCGCAATGACTGACACCGTGGAGAGGCTAGTTGGCCTGTAGAAAAACTGGTTCTGAACAAATAACTTCATAGAGGCAAGACATGCATATACACAGACTTAAACATACATTCATTATAAACAAATACAAATATATGGCGCACACGTTTCCCTTTTTTTATTTGCCACTCACCCTGTCCAGCCTTGCGGAAATAAAGCAGATGCATTATTCAGTCCATATGTCTTGCTAAAGCGAGCTCTTTTTGATCTTAAACTGATAGGCCGAGCGTGGGCTCAGGGCCTTAAGGCATGGACCGCAGGGCTTTCCACTGCAGCACATGAGTAGTGGTTGAAGTAGGTGAAGACTCTCTCTCCTCTTCCTCTCTCGCTCTCTTTCTCTTTCGCAACTCTACCCTTTTCTTGTATTCATTTGTCCATCCCTAGTGTTCAGTCAATCCCTCTCTACCTTTATCCATGCTTTGCTGCTCCCATTTTCTACCTCTCTCAATCTGTTAACTTTAGAAAACTGGGGCGTAAGCAATTCCGTGTGTGGTGGGCTATGTATGAGGACGGTAATGGCTGCTGAGACAGAACAATAAAAGAAAAAAACTCCTCGTTTTATGTGAATCTGTCCTATCTGATCTCAACAACTGCCCAGATTTCTCCTTAGGTTGACCTCTTTATATGCCTCCAACCCTTCGTTCCCTTGCCCCGCCCCTCCGTTGCTGCCTCTTGTTTTCCTCCTTTGAAACCAGTCCAGTGAAGATTTCAATTCGCAACATTAGAGTAGTTCAGCAGTGTGGAGGGCTAGACCCAGCAGAGAGCTCTCTATCCCCCCTGTCCTCAGATGCTGCTGCACATCAAAATGAAAAGGCCTGATTGTGAAGTACACGCCTAGAGAGAGAAAGTCTGTCTCTGTCTTTAGAAAGAATCCAGCTAAAGAGGCCTACTGTGTGCTGCTGCCCCCATAGAGAGAACTATGCTATAGGCTGTGGAGCCCCAGTGATTGTTGTCTATGGCAGGGCTACAAGAGAAAGCCAATGGCAATGTGGCCATTGGTCTTTAGAAGGTCTTTGCCTTGGTGTTAGCTCCACAGAGCTGAATAGAGAATCTATATTCTTCTTTCTTTCTGTATGAGTTTGTCCCCCAGGCCCAGCTCGGCCTCAAACTGCATGGGGCAACGTGTCATGCTGCCCAGATGAAAGCAAAGCATTCTGTGGATGGGCTCATTCGTCTTCACCAGTGGGCCTGCAGCTTTGACGCCTGCCTTCCCTCCCTTTATTTAGGAAGAGAGGTGCGCTGACATTATCGGCCGCTGCAGGCACATTTGAAAATAATTGCCTGTATGATTGCTATTTTTCTTACCTCTTTGAGGAGGTGTAGCCTTTGTCTTGGAATCAATGGCTGTTCAATACTGGACAGGGGAAAGGCAGTTTCCTTTCATGTCTCAGTGAAAAGGATGTATTTTTAGCGCTATTCATTTTAGCAGTGTGTGCCATGCAGTTTTAATCTATTGGTCCTCTCCACTGTGTGGAGAATGGAAGGGACTCGGAGGTTCTTCAGAGGTGCACCACGCTGTTGCAGAGAAAAGATGCATTGACTTGTCGTCCTATCACTATCCCTCTCTCTTTGTCTATTATTTATTTGATTCCCCAGCTCTGTTCTATGAAGTGAAAAACTGAAAAGGCCTCAGTTCTGCTATTTCAGGATGGGTGACTCTGGGGACTGAGAGAGGAGGTGCGTGCGTGTGTTGTTTTTGTACTAGTGTGTGCATCTGTGATTGTGTATATGTGTTTGTGTGGCATTGCAACTACACACTGTGTGTGTGTGCATGCATGCATTTGTATCTGCTTTGTATTTCGAAAAAAAAATGTCTGCGTTTGTGTGTTTTCTCTCCACTTCATGCCCAAACACACTTAACACAACAACAGATGGCTGTGTGTCATCAGAGCGTTGATTCAAGCCGCATATTTCCATGGAAAGAGTCACAGCGGAGAGAGACGAGGGTCCAAATGGCTGTTTATTCTGCCACAAGTCATCCCCAGGGTGTGATGAAGGAAGGTCTATCCTACAGTAGGACAGCGAGTCAGTGTTTACCATGGAACGCCTATGTCCAGAGTGGCAACAGTAAATCATGTTAATTGATCAGCAGCTTTCCAATGCAAGGGTTTAAGTGAAGGTTGTTTAGTCATTACAGGGAAACCAAGTGGGTTTAGCTCATCTTTCTGTATACTGATTGCCAAGTCTGTATTTGTATGTGGGGGAACATCATGGAGTGGCATAACAACTTCATTAAAAATGCATTTGAAAAGATAGATGCTGAAAATGGGAAACGGGCACATTTGTTTCTTATGACAGAACATTACAAACGGGCCTAGCTCCAATACGAGTAGTTTAAGCATTTTGCAGGTCTGTTAAACACTGCTTATCTACAGCTGCATCTGTATGCATTTCAGACTCTACCTGTTTCACAACCTATATGAATGTGTTTGTTCCTACCTTCTGCAAACGCATTCGCTGTTTGGTAAGCAATCATAAAGGGTTGAGGATTCATCGAACAGAAAGACGGTAACAAATTAATCAAATACATATTGGCCTGGATGGGATTCACTTTCCAATGCATTTGTGTCTCTCTCTGGTCAGATGGCCAGCGGGGTGATTTGACACCTTGGGGCTCCTTGTCTGTCAGAAAGTCAGCCAGAAAGACTGACAACTCCTGAAGCCCACCGCTGCTTATTCAATTCAGAATATTATAATAAAGCAGACAGGCAGAGAGAAATAAGGCTTGGAGTAAGGGAGCTGAGATAAGGCCGAGGGAGACTCACAGAGGGTGGGGAGAAAAAAAGGTGGGGTATAGAAAGTGAGTGACAAAGAACAAGGGGGATGCTGACATATGGGGTGAAATTATAGAGTGGGGGGAAGAATGGAGAGAATGAAAGTGAAAGGAGGGTTTCTGACAGAAAGAGGGTGAAATGAGTGGGTGGAACAGGCAGACAGATAGAGGGGGAGAGAGAGAAGGTGGA